GGTTAGGTTCTGAGGAGATGTCCCTGGTGAGCTGGAAATGAGGGATGGCTTTTTGGGGAATCTGAGCTGCAGCATCTGGTAGGAAAGGGACAGGGCCTTGCTGATGGCTTGCAGTGGTTTCTTTCCCTGCTCGTGCTCTTGGCAGTCTGACAAATTCTTAGGGCACATGGATGACGCTGAGAGTGAAGCTACCCAAAACCCAGGGCCTTGCTTCCAATGAAATCTCTCCCCTGGGATTTGCCAGAGCTAGCTGAAAACAAGGGGGCAGCCAGCTGTGTTCCCCTGCTTCCAGAAAGACCCCAGGGGCTATTCTTGTGTCTACTGGGAGCTCCACTCCCACTCTGTGCCACCAGCAGAGCCCCAGGTATTGCAGGTGTGTCAGGGAGCCACCACCCAGAGCAGAGCACTGTCCCAGAGAGGACACTGGCTTGGTCCCCAGTGTGGCATCAGCCCCTTATTTCCAGCCCCTCTCTCCATCAATGAGTGGCTAGGCTCTTTGTACAGAGCCTCAACTCTGGCCTTGATAAGAACAATAGCAACAATAATAATAATAATAATGACAATGATGATGATGATGTAGCCAGCTCCATGCCAGGCAGACCAGCTGTGCCACTCGTGCACTCGGGGCCGGGGTGTCCGATGCGTTTAACTCTTCTTGCTCCAATTGCAATACAGGGCTCGGAGCACTGGGTATTTATAGAGAGAGAAGCCCCTAGGCTGGAAGCTGTAGCTCTGAGGAAAACTCTGAGAGCCAAGACGGAAGAAGCACGTGCAGGGACCTCGGAGGGGAACACGAGTGGGAGCCTGACGAAAGTGGTGGTGACGGTAGGGAAAGCCAAGGACGTGGCAGGCCAGGAAGAGCCGGCAGCTGCAGCCTTGGAGACGAGGAAGAGAGCCAAAATGATTGCTAGTCCTGAGGATTTTGAGTCTGTGTGGGAGGATGAGCTCTATGAGAAGGAAAGCCAGGGTGAGTCCAGCCTGGGGGAGGCACATCCACCCACCGAGAGCAAGGAGGGGGAACCCCAAGAGCTGGGCAAAGGCGCAGCCACCAGGGAGCCAGGGCTGCCCAAGCCCTGTCAGCAGCCTGAAGAGAGGCAAAGGACCAAGATTTTGGAGGTGGAGCCTCCCCAGGGAGAAGGTGAGGTGCTCTCCAAGGACCGTGCTTCTGCAGCCTTCAGGAAGCAGGAGGCCAGAGTGCCAGCCACTGCCCCAGAGCTCCTGAAAATTAAAGTGAAGGCTGGCGATGACAGCTCAGAGACTTCTGCAACCCAGAGGATCATATACTTAGGAGATCCAGAGGAGGAGAAGGACAGTAAAACACATCTGGTCTTGGACACTGCTGGGTGGCTTGGCATGGAGGAGAGACCAGAAGCCCCAGTGAACACATCCGGGGAGGGATCCGAGCACGTCACACCTATGGCACAAGGGTTCCAAGCCCTCTCCTCAGCAAGTCACCAGCACAGGACAGTGTCTGAAAAACCCACTGGAGCACCAGTGACACCTGGGATGGGCTGTGATGAGACCAGCCTGGGGGGACATCCCCTCTCAGGGTGCAAGGAGCTGTCCCTGCAGGCAGAGAAAGCACCTGGTGCTGGGGTGCCTGGAGGAGCACCCATGGGAAGTGAAGCCCTGCTGTGTTCCCAGGAGGTGGGACCAGAGGAGATGGAGCTGCAGAGCCCGGTGGGAGGCTTGAAGCCATGTGGCCTGGCAGGAGATGGCCCCAGGGCTGAGCAGCACAGAGGGAGCCCAGCACAGTCCCCAGACATCTGCCCAGCACTGGAGGGGCTCTCAGGAAGGGCTGGAGCAGACAGTGACAGGGAGGAAAGTGCCAGAGTGGTTCTTCAGATGGAAGAGATAGAGCCCAAGTCACCTCCCTCAGCAGCTGGGTCTTGGCAGGGCCACACTCACACTGTGGGGCTGGAGGGGGAAAAACCCAGTGTTCCTGTCCCTCCACCTCTTCCCCAGAAACCCAGCCTAGTCCCTGCGGAGCCATCTCTGGGTACAGAGTCTCAGGGCATAGACCTGTCCCTGGACACCAGCCCTGACAGAGAGGTGGCCATGCCCGAGCGTGAGAGCCCCTCCATGGAGGTGGCACTACCCCTGGGCACTGATCCTGAAGCTGAAGAGCAATCCCAAAATGTGGGATTTGCCTCATGGAAACCCCATGAGGTGAAAAGTTCTGTTACAGGAGAACCACCCCAAAACACAGACACTGCAGCAGAGTCAATTCAGGTTAGAGACCTGGCCACCAGGGAGGCTGCCCAGGACATGGACACAGCACAGAGCAATGTGTCTGCCACTGAAGAGCCACTGCAGGAAGAGAAGCCCATGATCACAGAGCTCTTCCAGGGCTCAGGGTCAGAGAAGCCAGCCAGAGATGAAGGCTCTGCGATGGAAGAACTGTCCCATGACAAAAGCTTTGGCATGGCTGAGCTGCCCCCCAAGGGAGAAGAAGCAGAACACCAGACTGTGACAATCCTGAGGGACTTGCCTCTCCACACTGCAGATCCCAAAGCACAAGAGCCACACCGGGACTTGGAGTTCAGTGTTGGACAAGATCTGCAGGGTGGGAGCTGGACAGTCATAGAAAGCACCAGGGACAGTGACCTGGCTCCGGGGCAGCCACCACAGGATCACTCTCCCCCTAGAGAAGCTGATGTCCCACATTTCCAGTCCCCTGCAGCAGGATTTTGTCAAGAAAGTGAGGCATCACAGCTCCCTGCCCTGGTGAATGGAGACAGGACAGGGCAATCAAGTGGTGGGACACATCCAGCAGAGCCTGGGGTGTCGGTGTGCATGGCTGGGCTGGCAGGAGCTGTGGCCCAGGAGCACAGGGATGCTACTGTGGCCCCAGGAAGCCAGGAGAACAGCAAGAGCTACAGGGAAACTTCCGTGGCCTCCAAGATCAAGATGTTTGAGCAAGGCAAAGCGGAGCGAAGGGCGGCCCAGGAGGGACAGGAGCATGTGCCCGAAGCTGAGACGTTGGTGACAACTATGGGGAAGGCAAATCTGGGACACGATCTGCCTTTGAGCACCGGCCTCGCCTCACCCCCTGCAGTGGGACCTGTGTCCAGTGTGGGCTCCTTGGCCCTCAGGCAAGGGGCTGGTTCAGGAGACACCTCCCAGTCCCACTCCCTGCAGGAACGAGTCTCTGCTGAGCCCGAGCATGAAGAAGACAGTGCCGACCTGGCCTCGCCCGACTCCGGCTGTGAGCTCACCCTGGCCGAGGCCGTGGTAACTGCACCGAACCGTCCGGACGGGACATTCGTGCGCATGTTCTGTGGCTCTGCCCGTGTCCAGTGGCTCCTCACACATCCATTGACTGGCAGCAGGCGCTTTGCATCTCTGTCCTCTCTGTCTGTGTGTGTGGTCAGGCTTCACTGGCTGCATGCGCAGCCGCTGCCCAGTCGGTTCATCAGCTTTTGTTTCGCGCCCCCCCAACATTTTGGCTCCCTGGACAATGCCGCTCGCTGAAGCCAGGAGGGGCACCCGAGCTCTGTGGCCGGGAGCAGGAGAGGGCACTGGGGGGGTGGCTGGAGGAGCTGGGACTGTCATGGACACACAGCCCCAACAGCGGCGTGCCCACGCTTCCAGCTTCACCCCTGCATTTCCTACATTGGTTGATTATCCCTTCTTGCTTAGCTGCCACCCTGCCCTGCCTTCAGCAAGCTGGTGGCTGGGTGATGGAGTAGCTTCCCTTGCTCTTGTGAGCGCTAGAGCAGCTCCTGCAGAGTTCATTTCCTTCCGACTAACCCTTTTCTCTAATCCAGAGCAAATCTCAGCAACCAAGTGGGGAAGAAAAGGATTTATGTGACCCATCTGTAAAATCCAGCCTGAAAGAAGAGAATGTAAAGGCTGCTGTTCCAGTGGTCTCGCAGGTCTCAGTGCTGTTTTGCTAAGTGCTTCTCCCGGCAGTGTGAGCGCTCGCCCCGCGGCCAGGACTGTGCTGCCCCTCCGCTCCCCTTGCAGGGCTCTCTGTATGTATTGGTCAGACACACTCCCCCACACGTGTCTGCAGGCGTGTTCCCCGGTGCTGCTGGACACCCTGTGTTCGCCCATACCTCTCAACCTCCCCAGTGCCGAGGGAGGAGTGTGCCTGCACGGCCCGGCCATGGGGGATGGCCCTGGCTGTAACGCTTGGAGCAGAGGCCAGGAGGTGGGATTTCCTCTGGCATCGGTGAGCTTAGAGCTGTTCCTAAGGGACAACTGGGTGTAGATTTCCCATGGCTTCATGGCAAGTGTGGCAATGGGACACATCCCCTCCGATGGCAGAGTTGAGAGGTATGTCTGTGTCTGGAGAAGAGTGGATGGAGGGAGGTCATCCCTTGGCTCTGGCTGTGCTGTCAATTACACTGACCAGGTCACCCTGAGACTCACCTGAGGCCTCTGGAGGGGCAGGTGGTGTCAGTGGGGCAGACTCACCACGGGGCAGCTGTTGGGCTGGACCTCCCCCCAGGGTGATGCTTCACAGGATGCTCAGTGGAATTGGCTCACTCCTCCTCAGTGGAATTGGCACCCTCCTTTGCTTCTCCCTCACTGTGCCTGGCTGATGGGCCCTTTCCTTTCAGACTCTTCTCTCTTTCTTTCCCTTGTTTGTTTTTTTTGAGTCACTGACATCCGATAGCCCTTCTTCTGAGCTCTTTCTGAATGTCTCCTGTCAGACCCATTGTTTTGCATCCATCTGCTTCCACCAGTGCACTGAAGTGCCTCCAAGCTGGCCAAGCTTTTTTTTTGTCTGACCGAGCCTTTTTGAGATGATTTATTGCCAACAAACTTTTGGCACAATCCAATGGAGTCGCCTTCTCTCCCCCAGCAAAGCCACTGCTGTCAGAAAGGTTTCGGTCTCCATGCTTGAGTTGTGTTTGACTCTACTCTGTGATGTTTGCTGCAGCCTTCCTCCTTCTCCTCCTCCTCCTCCTCCTTCTCCTGCTGCCGTGTCCCCGCCGGCACTGCCCCGCGGTGCTCACGGCCCCGTCTCTCCACGATTGTGTCTCCTTCAGAGAGCGGGCATGAGGGAGGGCACTGAGGAGAGGGTGAAACCGCCCCGGCACAGGGCCCCTGAGAGCGACACCGGTGATGAGGAGCCCGACCAGGAGAAGGACTCGGTCTTCCTGAAGGACAACCACCTGGCCATTGAGCGCAAGTGCTCCAGCATCACCGTCAGCTCAACCTCCAGCCTGGAAGCGGAGGTGGACTTCACCGTCATCGGGGACTTCCATGGCACAGCCTTTGAGGACATCTCCCGGAGCCTGCCCGAGCTGGACAAGGACAAGAGCGAAACAGAAGATGAAGGCCTGGTTTCCTTCCAGCATGCTGACAAAGTGGTTCCTGGACTGGAAGAGGATGTCAAAGGCAGGGATAAGGTCTCCCAGCCCAGCCCAGATGTCTCCCAGCCAGAGGTACACAGGGACACCATTCACCGGGACCGGCCCCGTGCCATCGTGCTTCCGTGTCCCTTGTGCCCAGCATTGCCTGGCAGATGTGCACTCCCGGCTGGCTTTGGGGAGCATGCTGGCTGCCACCCCCCATTCCTGCCTGGTGCACGCTGTGTCTGTCTTGCATGGCTCTGTCGCGGGCTTCGTGCATCTGCTAACCAGGAGAAGTCACTGTCACCTCTGTCCCTGCGTGTGGCTGCCCCACCCCAGCCCACAGCAGCATGTGCGCCGCAGGGAGGGCACATGGCACTAACCATTGGAGCTGTCCTCGTGTCCTGCATGAATTCAGTGACCAGTCTGTGTAGTGCAGAGCCATGTGCTGCCCACTAACCTCTCTGGTCATGCTGGGGCTGGGAGGGATTGGCCTCGTGGAGCCGCCCTAGAGCTCATGGAGGGTCACTGTGCTGGGAGGGGTCATAGCAGGGCTAACAAAATTGCATGTGCATGTGTATGGGGCTGAGTGCACTCATGGGGACGGAACAGCAGAACCAGCCCCAGCTCCATGTGGCCTTGTCTCTGTGCTGGGCCAAGGGCCATCTCCAGCCCACCCACCCAGGGCAGCCTCTAGCCCTACAGGTAAGTCCCCAGTGCTGGCCAGAGCTGCTGGGGTTAGTCCAGACCTAAAGCCAGGAAAGTGCTGCAGAATTAGAGAAAGACTGTCTCTAGGCAAGCCTGGAAATGCTGGTGTGGAGCTGTGGCCCTGGGGGATCCACTCCAGGGCCAGTGTGGGCAGGGGGCTGTTGGCTCAGGAGTAGAGCACTGGTAAAGCATACCCGGTGCAGGAGCCCTTGGCAGCTCCAGTTTCCTACAGCAGGGCAGTGCTGGCAGCCTGTGTCCCATTCCCCCCAGAGGCGGGGAGGCTCTCACACCCCAGGAGTACCCAGAGCCACCAGGAGCTGGTACAGATCACAAAATGGCTGCAGCACAGGCATGAAACTGGTTTGATGTGTCTCACTTGGCTTTTGAAGAACAGTTTGTCCTTCTCCATGGTGTCTATAAATGTATCCAAAAAATGCCAGGGACAGAGCAGCTGGCCTGATTTGGGGGTGTGGGTCACAGGGCACTGTGGGTGGTGCCTGTCTGCCCAGGGCAGCAGGCCAGCCCTGCTGTTTGCCCGGGTAGAACTCAATGTGACACTCACAGAATGTTGTGCGTGTGGCACCTGCGAAGGAGCGGGGCAGGGATACTTTGCCAGGGGCTGCTGCACAAGGAGCACAGAATTAGAGTGGCTGGGCTGGAAGGGACCTTAAAGGTCATCTCCTTCCAGCACCTTGCTGTGGACAGAGCACTCAGGGCTGTTGGCATCATGCCCTAGGGCCTGGCTCTGCTGACTCTCTGCTGTTCCTCCTGCAGCCTTCAGCCCCAAAAGCAGACGCTGTGACTGTGAAGAAGCCCGAAGCAGAAGGCTCCGCTCCCCATCGGGTCAGCACCACAGACACGGCCCAGGTGACATGGTGGCTCCCCAGAGAGGCTGAGCCCTGAGGCTTCCCAAAGCCTCAGCCCACCAAAGCCTGTCCCTGGCAGCAGCGCTGGGAGGGCGGGGGCTTTGTGGGGTGGTTGGGGGCCTCTGCTCACCCTTGGCTTGCTGAAGTTCCCAAAAAACACAGACTAAAGCCCAATCAGAGATATTGTCTGAGTGTCCCTGGCCCCACCTGCCATGCCTACAGTGAACATCCATAGTGGGTGACAGCAACCGGCTGTCTGTACCTTCACAGCCCTCCCTGGCTTCCTCTGGCAGCAGGATATGGCTGCATTGTCCCTGCAAGTGTCACGCACTCCCTGGGCCCCTCCAGGCTCACCTGGTTTCCTTTGCCCTGGCAGGTGGACGGAGACACCCCAGGCAGCTGGGACACCACCACCACCACCACTGCCCAGGCTGGCACCACAGAGACAGCGCTGGTCACCTCAGTAAGCAGGGCTGGCCCTCGAGGGTGGGGGAGCCACTGTCCCCTGCGGTCCCTCTGCTGCTGGGGGAGTCACCGGGGCCAGCTGTGCTGGGGGGACCCTGCCCCACTGGGGGTGTCTTTGGGGGGTGACACCTGCCACGTTTGCCCAATGCCAACATGAGCAAACGTACCCGTCTGCACTTCTTTCAGGATCACGGCACCAAGGCTGGCAAAGGGGCCGCTCCCACCACAGACCTTCGCTCCCTGTCACCGGTGAGGGGGGACCTGGTGCCACCAGCAAGGCCAAGTTGGGGAAGGCAACCCTGTGGGGCTGGGAGTGGGTGGGATTGGTCCCACTGGGCCCCCTGCTGTGTTCCCAGCACTGGCACCTGGCTGATGTGTTGGTACTGGGCAGGGAAGAAAGATGCTCAGAAGGTTGGGGAGGAAGAAGTCAGGAAACCCTAACCTGTGGGCTTTTTCCTATGCCAGATCCATAGGAGGACAATTCCCAAAAATACCCCAGTCCCTGGTGCATTGGTCTGAGATGCATTTAGCCCTGGGTGTCCTGCGGGGTCACCCAAGGCCAACCACAAAGTCTCCTGACTCCCAGTGGAGGTGGTGGCCACCTACCATCCTGCCCAGCACAGCCCTTCCTCTGGAAAGGGATTTCTCTACTCCACCCCTTCATTTTGATGGAGTCCAGCCTGGGCAAACACCTGCCTCAGGCTCATCCCTTTGTGCTGCAGGGAGAGCAGAGCTGGCACTGGGGCTGGGGTACCAGTGCATCCTTCCCAGCCTTCCTTCCCAGCCCTCCCAGCCCTTGGCATGCACAGAGGGATGGACAGAGACAGAGGCAGCCTGAGAACTCTGTGCTAGAGTGGCCCTGAGGGTGGGCAGGGAAGAGTCAAAAGCAGCCATGAGACCTTCTGCCCACTGCAGAGGCCCTCTCCAGCTGCTGTGGGCCTGGATACCTGTGGAAACCTCTCCCTTTCCCCCCCAAGACCTTGGTGCAGTTGGAAGCACCTCATTGCCTTTTTCCCTTGCTGTGCTCTCCCCTCCCATGCTTGGCTGAGTGGGTACATCCCAGTGGGAGGTCCTGGCTGGCTGGGAGCTGGGCTGGGGCTTCCCAGGATGTCCCTGAGTGCACTGCTCGTGTCCCGCAGATCTCGGGCGGCTCCGCTGGCAAGGAGGTGCTCACCAGCATATTCAGCGCCACTGCGGAAACGCTCTCCACCTCCACCACCACCCACGTTACCAAGGTGAGAGCAGCTCCAGGGCTTCCTGAAGGCCACTGGAATTAGGGGATGGGTGGATTTATATTGTGCTAGGTACAGCAGAAAGGGCCCCTCTCCTTCCAACAAGCCAAGAGCTGTGTGCTGTCCCATGGGAACGGCAATCCCGCGAGTGCTGTGTGCCCTGGGTGCTGCCTGTGCCATGCAGCCAGGTGTGACCACAGCAGGCAGGCACAGCCAGGGGTGTACATTCAGCCAGGGGCAGGCCAGGGGTGGGAAGTGAAGGAGACGAGGCTGCAGCACAGGGTCTCACCCATGGCCATCGCATCCCCAGATTAAATACATGCTTTTCTTCCAGGGAACGAGGGACAGGATGAGAGGAAATGGCCTCAAGTTGCACCAGGGGAGGTTTAGATTGGATATTTGGGAAAATTTCCTCACAGAAAGGGTTTCCAAGCACTGGCACAGGCTGCCCAGGGCAGTGGTGGAGTCCCATCCCTGGAGGGGTTTCAAAGATGCATAACTGTGGCACCTGAGGACATGGTCAGTGGTGGCCTTGGCAGTGCTGAGAGAACAGTTGGGCTTGGTGATCTCAGAGAGCTTTGCCAGCCTCAGTGATTCTGTGATTCTGTAAAGATAGCAGCAGCTCTGTGAGGGAGCTGAGCAGCAGGAGGGTGCTTGGCACCTGCCCCAGCCCTTCTCCTTCCCTGCTGGGGGCTGCTGTGTGCCACACTTCTCCCTGAGTCAAGGGCAGTGGGAGCTCTGCTGGATTACAGGACAGTTCCTGAGGGGATGCTGGTGCTGTTCCTGCTCCTGTGGCAGAGTTCCCTTGCCTGGAGCTGGCTGCTGGGACAGGACTGAGAGCTCTCCTTTTCCTCACGCAGACTGTGAAAGGAGGGTTCTCCGAGACCCGGATAGAGAAGCGCATCATCATCACAGGAGATGAAGATGTGGACCAGGACCAGGTAGGAGCAGGATGCTCTGCCTTTGCCCGCTTCTGGCTGTCCCTGGATGCAGCACTGCATGTTTCTACTTCTGGCTTAACCTGCTTACTGCTTTTGGCCAAAAACTGACCGTCGAGGCCCCAGACCTGTCCAGCAGGGTGGATTCCCACAGGTGCAGTGACCCTCAGGCCATCTCCCACCATGAAACCATGGCAAAGGTCACATCCCAGTGCAGAACAAAGTGATGGCATGAATTTTTTACAGTCATAAACACATTTCTAGGTGCCCTTTCTCTGTTGAAATACTCCAAAGTGACCCAGGTCACCTCTCTCTTCCAGCACAATCTCACTACAGATTGAGCCTCTCCAGGTGACGGTGCCTCAGTGTCAGAGGACAAAAAGTGACACACTTTTGGGATGAAATAACAAAGACTGACACAAGTCTTTAGGTCCACAGGGTCACTTTCCTGTTGCCTCACCCTTTGGGATTTGTTACTTAAGAAAAAAAATAAAGAGATAAAGTAATTAAAAGGCTCTGAAATAATTTTTAGAATTATAATAATGAATTTGATATAATTCCTGTAGATTTTTCTAGTGTTTTCCTCTGCCCAGGTTTCAGTAGCACATCTGCACAGAAAAACAGCAGAGAAAGGCAGCTCATGAGGGCTCTGAGTCATGGATGAATTCCCAATCATGCTGGATTCCCATGCTGGGCTTCAGCCTCTTCTGCCAGGCTGCTGTGGGTTCAGCTGTGAGCCCCTATCCTCCTGGAATCCCACTCTGCTCCCTGGAGTGCTACTCAGCTGCTTTCTGGCTGCAGTCAGGGTGCCTGATTGCAAGAGAGGGAGGATAAATGCTCTCTCTCACCCTTCTGCTTTCCAGGCACTGGCTTTAGCAATCAAAGAGGCAAAACTCCAGCATCCTGACATGCTGGTAACCAAAGCTGTGGTGTACAGAGAAACAGAGCCCTCTCCAGAGGAAAGGGACAAGAAACCTCAGGTAGGTGGAGAAGCTGCCAGGTGTGATTTACACCTGCTGGTAATGGTGTAACACGTCGCAGTCTCTGGTCCCCATCAGCCACAGATGCTGGCATGGTGGCTCTGGGCACGGCCACCTGGTTGTGGTCAGGAAGCCACTACCATGCCACTGAAAGCAATGCTGTAGATGTCACCCTGCTGTCCTGCTCAGCACAGGGCTCAGAGGCATTTGATGTAAAAAGGAAAGGACCTGGAAAGACCTCCTCATCCCCCTGGGGTGGGAAGGGAATAAGGGGACCTCAGGTTTGTGAGTAGGCTGAGGCACTTGGCTACAGGTTATGCAAAGCCAAAGTATCAGAACAATGTTAGCAGAAATGATAATTTCTTTATAAAAACTGTACAGGCTTTCGGTCCCACTCAGATCCCCAGGTTGAATTTTTATACACACACAGGTGTAGGCAGCAGCACACAAGGTTTGCACCTCCCTGCAGACACATCAAAGCTGTCACAGTCCCAGACACTTCTCTAGTACTTGGGGAGTCCTGCCCCACCCTAAATCCCCTCTTTGACCCCATTCCCCCTGTCCACCAGGAGATGCAGTTCCTCTGGGTTGACACAGCCACCAGACCCCTGTGTGGGAGCAGTGGGAACAGAGGAGGAGAGGAGAGGGAACAGTTGAGGGGCTCTGACAGCAGCCAGGCTGCAGGTGCTTTTGGAGAGGCTCCTCGGAACTGGGATTTTCCATTTCTTTATCATATGAAGGTTCTGATTGGCAGCTTTTAAGCCTGGAAAAGCGACCAGCAATGCAGCTGGGAAGGTCATGAGAGGCTGGTGGAGCTGCCTCACCCTGTCCCACAGTACAAACAAGTCCAGACATTCCTACATCCATAGGATCCACCCAGTTTTAGTTGAATGTCTTAAAGTGAGGGAGTGGCAACTCCCCTCATGTCCTTCATGCACCAACACCAGCCCAGAGCCTGAATTCCTGCTAATTACCAGAGCTCCTGCTAATTAAATGCAAACTGTGGCCCCAAGTGTTTGCAAAGGTTCTGTCCAGTGGATGGGGAGCCTCCATGGATTGGCACTCCATGACTTGGTCCTTTCCATCTGCCTTGCACAGGAATCTTGACCAACACGTTCCTGGAAGCCAACATCTGTATTCCAACCTGGAGAACAGGGGAGAAGGAGCCTTCATGCTGGATTTGTCAGCAAGACATAGACATCCTGGCTGCAATGTTCATGGCAAGAGACAAACATTTTTAAAAAAGGAATAACAAATATATTATATATATATATACATACCTACACACACACACATATATATATATATATATATATATAAACAGGAAACAAAATGCATCCTTGCACTGCTGCTACATGCTGGAAATGAATAGCAAACAACGCCACCAACAAACAAAGCCAACCCTCTGCAGATAAATTGAAGAATTTCCTGGATTAGTGATCAAATCAGATTTAAAAAGTCATAATAATAACAATAATCTTGGTAACAATACAATAAGCCACCATCTTGCATGTTACATGAAAGGACACACAATCATGAGTTCATTTGTTGCACACTGAATGGAAAGGAAAACTGCTTTGCAACAAAGCAAGTAAGCAAACTGAAGTAAAAAAACCACAAGCAGAAGCAAAACCCTTCCCCACCTCTGGAAAGAAGAGAGAAAAACATTCAAGTTATGACCTTAGAGTTATTTTCCAATTCGCAAGTGTCATTTCACCCTTCTCCTCATTCCATGCTGGTTTTTTGCATTTTTGGGGGTTCTGTTAACTCCTCCCACTTCCCTTCCTTATCTTCTCTGTGCACTTGTCCAACCTCTTGTTCTCTGAAGGTATTTAGGAATGGGTTTCATTTCAAACAAAGGAAATGATATGTACATGGTTTCTCATCTCTATCGAGCAGCCTGTGGGGTTTCATATGGATGTGCATTTCAGTTCTGTATATTATTCTATATAACAGAGGGGGAGGGAGGGAACAATGCTGAAATAATTCAACAGTGCTGGTACGGATGATGCCAACATTTTAAAATGGTTAACTCTTGGATTGACTGTGGTTGGTGTACTTGGAGACTCTTAGATCACACGTGGGACTCTGAGTCCCACAGGAAGGAATGGGAAAGGTTTTGGCCGCTGCTGGCTGGGGGGGAAGGGGAGAGGGTGAGGGACAGGAATGTCCTGCTGGTGATCTGTGTGGTGGTGAGGTTTGGAGGGGCGGCGGTCACCTGGAGGGGCACGGAAGGCTCCAGCTCCAACAGCCGTAGGCAGGATGGGCTCCCAGGATGGGCTGCTAGCCCCCCAGAGCCACGGGGTCAGCTGGGAGGTGGGAGCCACAGGGCTCGGGGCTCCCCTGCAGGAGCCCTGCCGGTGGGTGGGGTGGATTTGCTTTGTTTCTGGATCCCAGTAATGGAGGCACTTGAGTTTTGTAGTAGGGTCAAAGGCAGAGGGGCTGTTTGTGCCCTGCCTCCCCCACTACCAGAGGTGTGATGGCACAGGGCCGGGGACAGCACTGGCAGGGCCGTGGCAGTGCTCCCCTGTCTGCCCAGGGATGGGCAGTGCAGGGAGCATGCTGTGTCCATCCCTGCAGAGTGTCCCTAGCGTCCCAGCTGGATGGGAGAGCCCAGGAGGTGTCAGTGGAGCTGCTCCCAGCTCAGCCTTCAGACACAGGCTCCTCCAGGGCTGCCTTGGGAAGGGGATCGTGGGCCAAGCCCAGGGCCTCATACACTGTGAACCAGGCAGTTCAGGTAGGCTCCCAACCAAAACCAGAAAGGAAAAGAAAGGAAAGAAATGGGTTTCCTTCTTGGAATTGTCTCTAGCTCCTGCAGAAACAGAAGGGCCCATGATTCTGCACCATTTTGCCTTTAGTCTCCCACCCCTGACACAGGCTGTGCCCAGGACCAGGTGTGTTCTGCCAGGCCCTGCCAGGGCTCGCAGGATGCCCGAGCAGGAGCGCCTGAGTCATGAGGATGCCGTGGGCAGACCCTGCTCCCACCTGCATTGTCCCAGCAGGGAGCTGCTCCCTGGCACTGCTCACCCGTGAGTGTTCTCCTGGCAGAGAGGTGTGGAAGGAAAGGGGCTGCTGCCAGTGCCAGTGCCCATCCCCAGCTGCCAGCCACGCACCTCCAGGGAGCACAGCTATAGCCTAACAGCACTTAGGGCAGTTGCAAAGAGGCTCCTTTTCTCTCGTTTGTTTTCCCAATGCACCCAAACTAGCCGTACCCAGCAGTGGCACTGCCAGGAGTGGTTGGAGGGCGTTCACCCGTACCTGGCACAGTTCAGGGTTGGGGGAGTCCACCTGGCTGGGGCACCTCCACAGCCCACCCAAGGCTGCTGTGACCCTACAGAGTTGCTTTTGGGGCTGTGCCCAGCCTGGGAAGCAAAGGTTCCCATGGGATTGAGCAGCCTTACAGAGTGAGGCTCCCTGTGCGCTTGGGCTGCCGTGAGTTTTGTTTGCAGTGAGCAGCCCCTGGCTCCCACAGCGTGTTCATGGGTGGCACTGTCAAAACCTTTTTTTTTTTTTTTAAAAAAAAAAAAAGAAAAGGAAATAAAAAAAGCTCACTGCTTGTTCTCCTGGCGAGGTGTGGCTTACTGCTGCTCAGCCCCAGCCTGCCCATCACCACGCTCTGTTTCGGATAGCTGGCCACTGCTTGTTTTCTTCCAGGGGCCTTTTCTGTGGAAGGGGGTGGGAGACATGAGTGCCTGTTTTTACCCAATCCTACAAATTCATTCTGAACCTGGCCTGCAATTGCATGAGTAATAATAACAGTAACAATAATAATAATAATATTTATTTTTATTTGAGAAGCACCTTACCGACCAACTGCAACGCTCTGTTGTTCCTTCACTAACTCTCCTTTTCTCTTCCCTTGTTCTCCTTCTCCCCCTTTGGTCATACTCCTTTTCAGTGCTCAGTGGTGTATGCGTGTGTGCTCACTGTTCTTGTATTCAATAAAAGTGAAATAAATGTGTTTGATGCTAAATCAGCCTTGGGCCTCAGTGAACTCTTTCCTACTGAGAGGATGGAGAATTGAAGGGGGAACCTTGCAACGGGAGCACTGCACATGGAAATACTGGGCTTTGTGTAAAGAGAAGAATTTTCTGTGGAAATCACAGAATCCCAGAATGGTTTGGGCTGGAAGGGAATATAAACCTCATCCTGTTCCATCCCCTGCTACAGACAGGGACACCTTTGACTAGACCAGGCTGCTCCGAGCCCCATCCAACCTGTTCTTTGACACTTACAGGGATCAAGGGGCAGCCACAGCTGCTCTGGGCACCCTGTGCCAGGGCCTGACCTCCCTCACAGGGAAGAATTCCCTCCCAATATCCCACCCATCCCTGCCCTCTGGCAGCGGGAAGCCATTCCCTGTGTCCCTGTGTCCTGGCATTCCAGGCCCTTGTCCCCAGTCCCTCCCCAGCTCTCCTGGAGCCCCTCTGGGCACTGGAAGGGGCTCTGAGTTCTCCCTGGAGCCTTCAGTTCTCCAGCTGAGCACCCCCACCTCTCCCAGCCTGGGTCCAGAGCAGAGGGGCTCCAGCCCTTGGAGCATCTCCACGGCCACCTCTGGACTCTTTCTAACATCTCCACACCCCTCCAGAGCTGCAGAGCCCGGAGCTGGGCGCAGTTCTGCAGGTGGGCTCTCAGCGCACCGTGGGCAGATGAAGATATTGCCGGGTCGGGAGCTGCGGCTGCTGGAGCCGGGGGCGGCTTCGTGTGGCAGGTGCTGAGCGTCGGACACAGCGCGGCGCAGCGAAGGTGCTTGCGAGAATGCTCGGGATGCGGGGAGGTGCTGGGAACTGCCCATCTCTGGGGACCCCGAGCCTGCCTGTTGTCCTGGAAGGCAGGATGTGGTGCTGGGACAGTGTCTGTCCTTCTAAGGGTTTGTGTGTCACAATTAGGGTCCCCGTGTGTCTCTCCCGGGGGGTCTCTCGGTCCATCAGTCCCAGGCACGGCTCTTGTCCGTCTGTCCCTCTGCGGGGCTGGGAGCACGGGGGCCCAGGGGAATAGCAGGCAGCTGGAGGGCCTGGGGATCGGCTTTGGGGACAATGGGTCAGCGGGGAGCAGCCGCCAGCCACGGAGAGGTGAAGAGGAGCAGCGCCGGGACGGGGGCTTGGGATGGGCGGTGGGGACAGGGACCGAGCAGGGACCGAGCCGGAGGCATGCTGTCCACCGGGCACCGCTGCAGCGGCCGGCCCGGGGAGCTCCCCGCGCTCGGGCGGGCCGTGCAGGCCGGAGGCTCCTCCCGCCGCCGTGCCCGGAACCGCCGGGCCCGGATATCCGGGCAGGGCCGCTCGGCGCTCGGTGCGGCCCGGCCATGGCGGCCCTGCGGTCGGACCCCGAGCTGGCCCGGCAGCTCTTCTTCGAGGGCGCGGCCGTGGTGGTGCTGGACGTGCCCGAGGGCACCGAGTTCGGCATCGACTACAGCGCGTGGGCCGTGGGGCCGCGGTTCCGCGGCGTGAAGATGGTGCCGCCGGGGCTGCACTTCGTGCACTGCAGCGCGGCCGGCGCCGGCGGGCGGGACGCGGGGCCGCGCTCCGGCCGATTCCTCAGCCTGCGGCGCCGCGAGGTGCGGGTGCTGCGCTGGGACCCCGCGGGCGAGGCCGTGCGGCCCGAGCCGCCCGAGCAGGGCGAGGCGCTGCGGGACAGCCTGCGGGAGCTGGACCCCTTCCTGGGGCCCTACCCCTACGAGACGCTGAAGAAGTGGGTGTCGCTGAGCAACTTCATCAGCGAGGCGGCGGCCGAGGAGCTGCAGCCCGAGAGCGGCCAGATCTGCGCCTTCGCCGAGGTGCTGCCCGAGGCGGCGGGGCGGCACACGCGGGACCGCGCCGGTCAGCGCCGGCCGCCGCTGGGCGCCGAGTGCCGCAGCTACGCCGAGGGCCTGGCCCGGCTGCCCCGCATGCGGCCGCGGGCCGGCACCCAGATCCGCTTCTCCGAGCTGCCCCGGCAGGCCTTCCCCGACGGGGCCACCCCCGAGGAGATCACCCGGCACAGCATGGACCTGAGCTACGCCCTGCAGCGGGTGATGGAGCAGCGCTACCCCGGCCGGCCGCTGGGCCTGCTCGGTGAGCACCGCCCGGGAAAATGTCATTTCTGTGCTCCGGGGTGGAAATGTCATTTCTGTGCTCCGGGGTGCAGCCTGTGCCTGTTCCCTGGCGTGCCGAGCGGTCTCTTCAGTGCAGGAAAGAAGCCTGTGGAGTTTTTAGCAGCCCCAGGGGCTGTTGCCATGGTCTGGAGCAGGCTGAGGCCAGAGCTGCAGCTCCTCCCGAGGGGCAGCTGCGATCTCTCTTCTGTGTGACCAGAGAGAGCACCCGAGGGAACAGCTGGAGCTACCAGGGGAAATTTAAGTTGGATATTAGGAAAAGGTTCTTCCCCAGAGCTGCTGGCACTGCCCAGGCTCCCCAGGGAATGGGCACGGCCCCGAGGCTGCCAGAGCTCCAGGAGGGTTTGGACAGCGCTGCCAGGGGTGCCCAGGGTGGGGTTGTTGGGGGGTCTGTGCAGGGTTGGGGCTGGGCTGGATGATCCCTGGGGGTCCCTTCTCACTCAGGATATTCTGTAATTCTGTTCTGTGACTCTCTGATGTGGCTACATGGTGCTGCAGCCCAGATTGCCCCTGATGAAGTCAAAAGCAGCTGTCACAGGTGGCCCTGGTGTCTGGCACCTTACCTGTTCAGGGAACCTCTTGAGGACATACCTTACAGAGTCCTGGGAGCATCGAGTGGGGATGGGCACCCCCAAACAACAGTTCCTGTTGGGCTGGGCAGGGGCTATGGGCCTGATTCCTGCTGCAGGGACCGGCCCCTCCTGGCCCAGCTCCATGTGTTCCATGTGCTGCTGGTGACAGTGGCAGTGCCCAGGCTGTGCCACCCCTACTGTGGGGACACCACACCTCCCAGAGCTCGACTGCTCCCCACCCTATTTTGCAACCTGTGATACAAATAAATGCTGGGTTTATGGAGGTTCTGGAGCAGGGGTTTGTTTTGTTGCAGGATGGAGGGAGGAGCCCTCTCAGCTGGAACCCAGGTTTGGAATAAACCTTTTTTTGTCCCTTCCATTTTTTTGTATGTTAACGTTAAACAATTTATTCTTTGTCAAAATTACCAAAGACAACTGTAGGATGTAGAGAGAAAAAATTACCTTAGGGAATGGTGGCAAAGCAGCCGTTACCAAGCATCCAGTGTGATGAACCTTGGCTCTTAATTCAACAAGGCAGACACACTCGTTGAGGCACTGCTGACCTCTCCCAGAATTCCAGGACAGTAGTGTTTGCAGTCCCATGTGGTGCTGGACACTCAGCACAGGGAGGCTGAGCACTCACAGAATAACAGCAGGGTCTGCCTTGATGTTTGGGCTGTTGTTTGGTGTTGTTTGCTGTCTGTAGAGTCCCTCTCCAGTGCTGATAATCACAGTTACAGGTGACCTGCCCTGTCCTGCTTTGCTTTGCTCCAGCTGAAGAGCAGCACAGGGTCAGTGTTTGAAGTGTGAATGCACTTTGCAAAAGCCAAACCAGAACTTAGAAATCATTTGCAGAGCTTTGCAGAGGACACATTCCCAGGATATCTGTTTAGTCTTACGTGTTTTGTTTTGTTTCCCTTCTCTGAACCCACACAGCTGAGCTGCAGTTTGCTTTCATCTGCTTCCTGATTGGGAACGTGTATGATGCCTTTGAGCACTGGAAGAGGCTCCTGAACATCCTGTGCCGCTCAGAGACTGCCATAGGGAAGTACCAAGACCTTTACATCAACCTCATTTCTGTGCTCTATCACCAGCTCAACGAGATCCCAGCAGATTTTTTTGTGGACATTGTTTCCCAGGACAACTTTTTAACCAGCACCTTACAGGTGTGTTTGGGGCTGTTCCCTGGGAAATGGAGTGGGAGGGAGGGCATCCATCACATCTGGGGAGAAACTGCCAAAGGAATTGAGCTGTATGGGAGATGGGAGCCTGTCTGAGCACACAGGGCTTTACTTTGACTTTTTCCCTCTGTTATTCAGCAAGAGCTTCAGCTCAACAGCTACAAAAGAGGCTGGGCAAGTGCAGTGTGGTGTCTGTTTGTTTAATTTTTCCAAAGTGCCGTTCATTCTTCAAAAGAAAAAACAACACGCAAAACTTTGGCATGAAGGACTGATGATGCTGATTTTTGGAATGGTTTGCTCAGTGTGCAGGGAAGCTGCAGCAAGGCTTTATTGAGCTAAGGGCAGTGATGGTGTTTAAGAAGTTTTTCCATTGCTTAGCACACCTGAGGATTTCCTGTAGTCACGTTCTTCTCCAGAGGGAATTTATGGTTACTCCAAAATGCAAAATATGCTGTCTCTGCTGAGACAGCTGGGGCAGGTCTGTGCCTCAGCCCCAGGGAAAGCAGTTACCCACTGATGGTGACCATGCTGGCAGTGCAGCAAACTGGCTCAGTTTACAAAAAAAAAGCCCAAATCAGACACACTGATAAAGCTGAGCCATGGGAATCAGCCCAGCAGGAAGCTCTGCTGCAGGTGCAGTTCCATTCCTCTCCTTGCTGACCCCAAGTTCTTGCTGTACTTCTGGGGAAGGTGAAGGTATTTGGGTTTAATTGCTGGGTAAAATATTTGGGGAAGCATTGCTTTAATCAAGTGGCTTTCAGATTTTTCAGTTGTGATTCTTACAAGTCTTGGAAGGGTTTTAATTTACATTTTATTTCTGTTGCTGGATTTTTTTCCATCCCACTACAGGACTGGACAGCCCAGGTGTGTTTGCAGCACGCTCAGAGCAGTGCTGTCAGTTCACAGCAGTACCCAGAATATGGCAACCAGCCATTCTCTCTCCCTGAAGAGAATTTAGGAATCCCTTATTGCTGCTTCTGGCTGCCTGAGTCTTGTCCATCCCTGGGCTCCCTCAGCAGGAGCTGTGCTGGTGTCAGGATCACCCTTAAGCCCTGGCAGGAGTCACCACATTCCCAGTGACAAAGAAAAGCCTTGCAAACTGAGGCCCTCCTCACTGAGTTCTCCACTGCTCTGCTCCCATGGGATTTCCCTGAAGTGGGGCCAGGGAGGCTCTGGGCTTTGCCTTACCCTCACTTCACACAGAGATTTCAGAATTCTCTGCCTCAGCTGGCCCTGGGCAGATGCTCAGAGCTGTGGGGAGGGCATTGTCTCTGCAGCTCCTGCTCAGCTCTGGAAGCAGCAACTTTATTTTTGGAGTTTGATCCAAGGCAAGAAGAGCACAGCACAGCCACTAGTGACTCTATCCCCTACCAGTGCTTAAAGAAAAAAAAACAAAAAAAAACAAAAAAAAACCCCAACAAAAAACAACAACTTTTTGAAATAATAATTTAATGTGCAGTTCATTGAGAAGAAGTGGGAAGTATAATCTTCTAATCATTTTTTCCCTACCAGCAGCATTGCTGTGTAAGAGTTCTGTTAGAAAGAGGCAGTTTTCCAGTAGAATGAGCAAGAAAAAGGCAAATATTCATCCACAAAGCAGAGAACTTTGCTGCTCATTGTCAGTGTTTTATCCAGCTTTCAGTAAATAAGAGGCTGTGTTTTCCCCAGAGGAGATTTCTTTTTATGGCAATTACTTTTGGATCACAAGTTCAGGAGGAGCAGAACCAGGCTGGGCTGGGCTCTGGGGCTCAGTGCCCTGTTCATCACACAGGTGATTTCCCCTGAGGTCCAGCAGAGGCTGTGAATTTGTGATGTGTTAATAGGTTTGTGTTTGGGGGTGGAAGGCAGAGGTTCCTCCACACTTCAGCACCCTCTGCACAAGGGAATAACCAAGCTTTTTCCAGAGAGCTCCCATTTCTTTCTGGCATTCAAGGTATTTTCATTAAGTTTCCTCTGTATCCTGAAGTATTGGTAATACCATATTACAAAAATGCTTTGGGAGATCTCTACCCATGGAAATGAGGAGTGCAATTATTTGCTGGCCTTTTGGACACTTGCTGGAAATTTGCCTACTCGTATTTGAATTTTTTGAAATGCCTTCTGTCAGGACATTTTCCTTAGCTCACCCTTTGGGATATTTCAGAATTCCACAGCACAAATTCAGTTACAAACACACTCCTGCTTCAGACAGAGTTCTCACCTGAGTGCAGATGTGTGTGATGCTGACTCAGTGGTGTGAAGGCAGGATGGGCTTGGGCTGTGAGGTGAGAAGTGTGGGCTTTGATTGGGTCCCCCCAAAGCTGCAGTAGTCCCGGGGTGTAGATCCCAACCTGGCTCTCTCCTGGTGCTCCCTGGTGTCCCTGCAGGGAGGAGGTCCCCAGCTGGTGCCATGGCTGGGCTCTCGCTGACCTCTGCTCTTTGTTTCAGGTGCTGTTCTCCTGCACGTGCAGCTCTGCTGTGGATGAGGCTCTGAGAAACAAGGCTGAGAAGTTCAAGGCTCACCTGACAAAGAAATTCAGATGGGACTTTGAGGCAGAGCCTGATGACTGTGCCCCTGTGGTTGTTGAGCTGCCTGAGGGTGTGCAGGTGGACTGAGCCAAAGGCCCCCTTAGGAGCAAACAGCTTCTAAAATGATCCTTTCCTTCTCTTCTCCAAGCTTACCATCTTCTTAAAGGCTGTGTCTGGAGCTGATCTTCTTTCTGCTGGAGAAGCAGATGTGGGAAACCCAGGAGGATGCTGAGCTTTGTGAGGAGCCCAGAGGTGTTGGAGGAGTTTGAGTGTTGCCACGTGGCAGGTTTGGGCGTGTTGGGGTTTTCCCAGCCCTTCTGCAGCATCTCCTTCCAGAACACAAGCCACAAACAAAGTCACAGAATCATTAAAGTTCCAAAAGACCTTTTGATGTCATGGAGTTCAGCTCTAAACCTGACACTGCCACAATCCTCCTGCACTCAGCTGTCCTCTGCATCCCTGCTCCTCTCTCCTGCTGGGCTGGAGCCATGCTCTGCTTGGGGAGCACCTCTGCTTTAGGGGTGTGTCTTGGTTTGAACAGCCAGGTGTCTGCTGAGGAAGGCAGGAGCCTCCCCTGAAATGGAAAAAGTAAATGCTCTCCCTCTGAATTGTCACAATTTTAAAACTAAGAGGCTCTCAGACAAAGATGTGGGACTAGGAATAACAGTTCTTTTATTAGAAAAAAAAAAAAAAAACAGTAATACAAAACACCACTGCCAGAGTCAGAGCAGGCCCTGTCCCCCTGAGTGTCAGGGTGGTGGCACAGTCCCATCCCATGGGGGCTCAGCCCTCCTGCAGTGCCAGCTGTGCTTCTGCTGGAGCAGAGATCCTGCACAAGGCTGCAGTTTTCCTCTGAAGCTCCAGGGCTGCTGGAGATGGGCCTGCTCTTCCTCTGGCAATGCAGGGCAGGAGAAAGCTGCTCCTCTGGGAATGCAGTGGGCAAAGGCTGCTGTGCTGTTCCAGGCTCAGATTGTATCCAGGTAGGAATGCTTGGCTCCTGCCCTGGCCGGAGCATCTCCCCATGGGATGCTGGAATTTGATCAGCCCTGCAGGGACACTCACTGGCCATGAACAGCAGAGATCTCCTGGAGGGAGGATTGGCTGTGGGACAGATCAAGAGAACTGCCCAGTGAACAGCAGAGAACTGCCCCAGCTCTGACAGATGGGAAATAGGATACACAGCCAGCTAAGCCTGAGACAGGGTGTAAGCCCATGGGGTGGTTCTGGCAGCCCAAACCCAGGCTGGAAGCTGATGTCCAGCTCTTCCTGGGCTCGTGTTGCGGTGCTGTGACCATGACAGTTGCACTGCTGTGTTGGTGCTCTTGGTGCTCACTGTGATTTGTCTTCTGGGGAGGTGGCTCAAAGCCACAGCAAACATTCCTCCAATTTCATACACCGAGCACCTCAGTGTCTCATTCCTGTTCTTCTCATTTTTTTAAACCCTTTTGTATTTACTGCTGACATAGTTTTGCGTGGTGTAAAAGGAAATACTTACTGGACTGTAGTCACCAAGGTGTTAAAGAACAGAGCCAGCAGGAGATAAAGGATCAAATTTCCATGTGAACTGGATCCGCTGTTGTGTTACAACTGGAAATCCTGTGGTTTTGCTCAAAAACAGTGACTGAAAATTAACAGTTTGTAATGGCCAGGTTCCCATGATGAACTGCACTTTTAGCAGCTGAGGAAAGAGAATATAATTGTACTTGCATTGTGGTGGGTTTTTTCTTTTTGTAAGGTCATAGGGACAGCTGATAGCAGAATCCCAGAATGGTTTGAGCTGGAATGGACCTTACAGGCCATTCTGTGTCACTGCTGCCATGTGCAGGAGCACCTTCCACTAGCCCAGATTGTTCCAAGCCCTGTCCAGGCTGGCCTTGACATTCGCAGGGAACAATTCCTTCCCAATATCCCATCTAACCCTGCCCTCTGGCAGTGGGAAGCCATTCCCCTTGTTCCTATCACTGTCTAACTTTATAAATGTCCTTGTCCCTCTTTATAAGCCCTCTTGTATCTCCTTTTATCTCTTATTATTTATTATCTCTCACTAGACCACAGCCCAGGTGGGGAGGAGCCAGGCCATGGGGCCACTGTCCTTCTGTCCTTCCTTCCTTCTAGGAAACAGAAACAGCAAAGCCTCAGCTAAATGCAGGTGGAGGTGCTGAGAATCCAACATGATCCCACTGCACACTGTTAGGGAAAGGGAAGGGCACATAGGGAGCAGCTTGTTGGATGTTTACACAGTGGGGATATAAATTTTGTGGGGGAAAAGAGAGGGAGCCAGCAGGAAGGAAGGGTGTGTGTAAGTGGCAGCACGGCATGGAGGAATGTTTTCTTGTCCTCCTGAAGGTGATGATAATGCTGCACCTTCCTGCAGCTGAGGTGAATGTTGTTATTCAGAAGCCAAGGAGAGCCTTTGGTAAATACACACTGCTGCAAGGCAAGGAAGTGGAATTGGGGATGTGTTTGCAGCTCTGGGTCCCTGCTGGGTTGGGCTCAGGAGCATTGTGCAGGGGCACTGAGGCGTGAGCTCCATTCTCCTCCTGCTCCTGGGGAGAGCTGTCCGGCTGTCAGGCCGTGCCAGGGGGGCAGACTGGCACCATTCCTGCCTCTGGGCTGTGCTTCCCTGCAGGCTGGACTGGAGCAAAGCCCTGCCTAGCCCAGGTGAGGCTGATCCAGTGGGATTCAGCAGTGGTGTGAGGTGGGTACCCCATGGCTGCACTGACCCTGCAGTCACTGTGCAAAGCCCAGAGCAGGGGTACCCAACCCCAGACTGCTCTTCGTTCCATCTCCCTGCTCCACAGGCTTGCTGGTGTTGGACAAACCAGAGTTTTCAGTCTCAGGGACAGTTTCCTGGTGTGGGGCCTCTGGCTTGTCCTGCACCATGGATTGCTGCTGCTTGTTTCATCCACCTGCAAATCCAAGCATGAGGAATGTGCTGCCCTCCTGTCACAGTGTGGCACAACTCCCTTTTTGTTGGTGTGATAGATGAGGAATGAGATGGTTGACTCTCACAATTAAAAGGCAAATATCCTGTGTATATGTTAGGAGAAGTTTTATAGATTTATAGTTGTGTTTTAGCGCCTTGTGTTGTTATCAGGGCTGGCCTGGGTTTGGGACATTTGGGAGGGTCAGTTCGTTATTATGGCAGCACCTGAGCTCCAATCAAGATTTAAGGAAGTGATTTCCACCACTGGACAGTGAAGAAGGAGTTGATGGACAGAACTTTGACAGGGGCTAAAGGGTTAAAAGGCGAAACCTCCATTGTGTGGGTGAGCACGTGGTGAGGAAATCCTCTGCTCCAGCGCTGTAATATTTTCTCCATTTAGTCTTCTGTTGTATTTTTGATAAAGTTTTAATAAACCTTTAAAATGTTTTGAAATTAGTATAATTTCTCACACTGGGGAGAAATTTAAAAAATTAAAGACATATAAAGCTTCACTTAATCTCAACTGCGGTGTTGCTTGGGCCACTCCCCCATTCTGTTGATCTAGAAGTGTGGTGTGTCCTTAGAGTGTGGTGTGTCCTTTCAACAATTGCCTGACTTGTGGGGGAATAGGGAATTCCAAAAATGTGGCCAATTTTTGAGCTGTGTATGTGGGGCCATTGCTGTTCTGATGGTGACTTCCCTGTTACCCTGACCGCCCCTGCCCACTGCCAAGGCACCAGGCAGGGCACTGGTGTCTCTTGGGGTGGCCTGTGCCCGACTGCGCCCTGGCACTGGGCATCTCTCCCGGTGTGGTTCTGCAGCTCAGGCTGGCTTTGTGCAGCTCCGGGGCAGCAGTGCCTGCAGCCCTCCAGCAGCGCTGCTTTGTGGGGTGTCAGATGTGAGCCACGGAGGTTCTGGCTCTCTAAAAGCAAACTGAAGGGGAAAGGGAGCAGGTGGGAAGGTGCAGAAAGCTTGGCAGTGTTGTGGTTTGGAATCTGAAGTCAGCTCAGTGTTAGTTTTTTTTTAACCAGCAGCTCTTTCTTGGGGCTTTCTCTCGTCCTGCTTAAGGGTAAATTGAATTTCTGTTCTTTGCTCAGTGTTTTGCTGTGGCAATCCTGCCTCTGTCCATTGTGCAACAGTTCCAGTCTCTTTCTGGTTTTATTAGGTTTTTCTAATTAGAAAAATTAGGGGTTTTACCGTTATTAGGTTTTTCTAATTCTCTTAGGTTTTTCTATTAGGTGTTTGTTATTATTGTACCCTTTTCTCCAGAAATAACACAATAGAAATCCATTTGTGCCTCCAACAGCTCCCAGGAGGGAGAGGTTTTCCAGGGTGTCTTAGACACACACCACCTTTGTTTGGAGCACTGTTTATATCTGCTGTGCTTTGGCAGCTGGACAGGGCCTGCCCCAGCTGCTGCAGATGGACTGGCTGGCACCAACCTCCTGGAACATGGAAAAAGATGGAGTGGAGCTCCTTGATTCCTCTCTCTGAGAAGGAAATCATTTACTCCTGGTACTGCTGGTAATTGTCAAACAGTCTCAGTGGCTCGTTGGGCAGCCCTGCTCCTGCAAAAGGGATGTGCTGGCTCTGGCCATTCCTTCCTGCCCTGCTCAGCTCTTCCACAGCCTCTCCTGCTCCCCTCCAGGAGCCTCCTGTCCTGCTCTGTGCTGGCACCTGGGAGCTGCCCAGGGAGACGAGCGTGGCACGGACCGGGCAGGGGCAGGGATGGGGGTGGGGATGCGGTGGGGATGCCCCTCGGAGCCTGGGCTGTGCCGGAGCCCGGGACGCTTCACTGCAGGGGCCTCATTAGGACAGCGCTAACGAGCTGCAAGGCAGCCTCCATGCAAATGAACCCCGTGTGGGTTAATCAATGGGAGGAAAAATCCCTGCGGCCGCTGCTCTGGGTGCCCTGGTGCCGCTCCTGCCCTGCCCGTGGAATGCCCTGCATCCTGCAGGGCTGGCACCTTCCCCTGGTGCCCTTGGCCACTGCAGCTCGAGGGAGCCATGGGCTGGGAGCCAAGGCCTGAGCCACAGCCCCTGCCAGGCCCTGGTGGGGCGGGAATGGAGGGCAGGGAACGAGGCTCCCTTCCCTGGCTCCATCCCGGGGCAGTGCCCGCTGCGGGCAGTGCCCCCCGTGTCCCGCACGGAGCAAACCCGGAATGTGTCACAGCGCTGCTGGGACACCTCCAGAGCCCTGAAGCCACAGCCTGGAATGTTCCCCCTCGCTGGGAGAGCTGCAGCTCTCCCAGGGCCAGGCAAGGCTGCCCTGGCAGGAGGAAGGTGCCAGCAGGTGCCAATGCCCCTCCAGTGCCCCGCTGCAATTTGCTCACGTGTCTGCCTGGACAGATGATGTCTCCTTCCAGCACAGCCATTAAATAATTCAGGAAATCAGCTGGTGTTCGTAAAGGAGGGTTAGTGAAGAGTGGGAAGATGAGGGAGGGAGCCTGGAGCCCCT